ACGGTTTAGAGGCAAATCTCCCTTTTTTATGACAATGAATGTGACAAGAGAGTTTACCATAGGTATGGGCTTTGTAATCTGAGTGGTTTAGATGAGGGTTTGGCGCAAAGCACTTGTTTCATCATTTTGTATTTATTTTTTTGTATACAGACATAAGTAAATGTTTATGAATTTATACATATTAAGTACTAAAATAATTTAAAATTCTTAAAGAGAGCTACCGTCAGTGGGCTGTTAGTCAGAGAGTTACCTGAGCTATTGCTTTGAAGTTATCCGCCTCAAACCCTACTCGTGTTTCAGAGCTGAAACTAGACTGGATTAGACCTTCTGAAATTGAAAGCATTAATCGTTTTACCACGACAAGCTGGTACAAGCAACTAAGCAACATACGACAGTTTGGGAGACTTAGGTATACATTATAAGATTACTCACATTTATAATAAAGACTCAGCGTCTAATCGGTTTATGTAAAGACAATTTATTTAGTGTTAAGCCACTATTAAATTACAAATACTCTAGCATATGTTGTTTCCTCTGAAAACTCATAGTTTCATTTGAAGACAATAGACTGACTGAATAAAGAGTTCCTGAATGTCGGGACTCACATGTACTTGATTAAGAGGAATGACTAACTTTATCTATAAGTTCACAGTAGTTAACTAAATCATCCGTTGACCGGTAACTGCAATTCAATACATTACAGTAGCCGTCAACCGTGTGACCGTGTTAAAGAAAATCTCAATATATTTAATTATGTTCATATCCGCCATATATCGACGTTTTAGCAGTATTTGTATTGATTGTAACTGTATGTGCAACCTCGAAACTAACGAACTACTAGACCGACTTAATAACTAACTCTTGAAAAAAGACCTGCAAACTCTCAAAGAACGTCTGATTACAGACGCCAGAGGATAAATTATTTGACGCAAAAAATAAGTAAAGTATCCCAATACGAAAATCAATACGATCAAGCTGCTTATGATGCAGCGGCAGAAATAGAAGCTGAAAACGAAGCCGGCTATGAAACAGATGCTCTAATTTTTTTAGCGGAGAATCCCTGCTCTCATTTGTCCAGCGAACAGTAGCAGGGAAATCATTGAAATTCTTAATCGACACTGGAGCGTCGAAAAGTCACATAAACCCAGACGTATGTCCTCTAGCCTCCGTTCCGGTACAAATCCCGTTTGCAGTCAACTCAATTCACGGCTTTAATAAAATTGAAAATAAAAGCTTTATCAATATGTTTGGCATGAATAGTCCTTTTTTCATTTACTTGGACTTACGACTTTTGACGGCATAATTGGACTCGACCTACTGGCACAGGCAGGGGCAACTATTGACTTTGCATCAGAATTAATCAATTTGAATGGTGGATCTGAGACTTTAAAGTTCCATAAATGTGCCCAAGTTAATTTTACTAAAATTGAAGACATCGAGGTTCCACCTAATACTCGCACAGACTTTCTACAAATTATGACAATGCACTTAAAGGCGTTTGCCCAACCGAGCAATCTACTTCCATTCAACACCAATGTTGTCGCCATGATTCGCACGGAGGACAATGAACCAGTTTACTCTAAGATGTACCCATTTCTAATGAGAGCTGCTGATTTCGTGAATCAAGAAATTAAGATCTTACTAAAATAAAATATAAATGGCATTATTCGATCTTTTAAATCTCCATACAACAACCACATATGGGTTGTTGGCAAAAAGGGCACCGATCTCTCAGGCGCGCCTAATAAACGGTTGGCAGTAGATTTCAGAAAATTGAGTTCCAAAACTGTTGCGACAAACACCCAATGCCGAGTATCAGTATGATCCTATCAAACCTTGGAAAAGCTAAGTACCTTACTACCCTTGACTTAAAATATGGGTATCATCAAATCGAGTTAGCAGAAAGTGACAGAGCAAAGACATCCTTCTCAGTAAACGGAGGAAAATATGAATTCTGCCGTTTGCCTTTTGGTTTGAGAAATGTCTCTAGCATTTTTCAGCGAGCAATAAATGATGTTCTACGGTACATGATTGGAAAAACGTGCTATTTCTACGTCGATGACGTCATAGTGTTCTCCGAGTATGAAAGAGACCACTAACAACATGTCGGTCAAGTATTGAAGAGCTTTGATAACGCCAATATATGGGTGTGAAAGCAAAAATCACAATTTTTTAAAGAAAGTGTAGAATTCTTAGGCTTGGCCGTCGCAAAAGAGGGCACAAAAACTAGTCCAGAAAAATAAAGGCAATTAGAGATTTCAAGCAACCAAGCAGCTTGTTTGAATTAAGATCCTTCGTAGGTCTTGCAAGTTACTACAGATGCTTTATCAAAGATTTCGCTGCAATAGCATGACCTTTAACAAACCTGTTAAAAGGTGAGGGCGGAAGAATCAACAAATACCGTCCGAAAAATATTCCAGTATCCTTTCACGAGATCACGCCACAAAATTCTGGCACTGTAAAAATATAGTAACAGACGTTGTGAATAAAGACGAGCAAAATTAAATAGTAACGATTGAACATAATAGTGCACATAGAGCCGCCCAAGAAAATGTAAAGCAGATTCTACTTGACTATTACTTTCCGAAGATAGGCAAGATTGCGGCAGAAGTTGTTGTAAACTGCAAGGTGTGTGGAAAAGCGAAATATGATAGACATTTTTTCAACTGCAGGAAAATATTTCCTTACAGCAGTAGACAAGTTTTCCAAGTTTGCCCTGGTTCAGCCAGTAGCATCTTGCACTATTATTGATGTAAAAGCGAATATTCTATAAGTAATAAATATTTTCCCCAAAGTTAAAACCATATATTGCGATAACGAGCTGTCATTTTGCTCAAACACAATTCGATCACTGCTAAAAAGCCATTATGACATTGACATAGTGAATGCACCACCGCTACATAGTACGTCGAACGGACAGGTGGAAAGATTCCACAGTAACCTTGTGAAGATCGCCAGATGTCTTCCACTGCAAAGACAAATACAAGATGTAGTGGAACTTTTTCTTCAATCGGCTGTAGAATTTAATAGGACGTTCCACTCTGTGACGGGCAAAAAGCCAATTGAGATTATCCATGCCAGTTCACGGATATTGCTGCAAGGCTAGAAAAAGCCCAACAGGAACAAATAGATCGGAGCAACTCCTATCGCCAGAACAAGAAAAGGTTGGGCGACAAGGTCCCCAAGGTCACCCCATTGTATACTGAAGAGAAGGTTGACACTAATTTAGGAACAACCGTTTTTATTAAGGGGAGGGTGGTTCACAAGGACAACCTCAAATGAAAACTTCCGATACAATTATTTTGATGCAGTTTCTTTTAATTAAATTTCAGACATTTGTATATCTACGTATTTTTTGCTTGGGCTGCGTTGGCAGACTCTAAACTAACACACTGCTCCCATGCGGACTACATTCCAATCCTGGGCGATACTGCAATAATTTATAACGAGACGAATTATATAAGACATATATCGAACTTAACCGAATACGAACAATATATACAAGAGACCACAGAATTGATTAATGTCTTCCCACAATCGCACATGACAAAGATCCAGGAGGTAGACACTACGCATCTGCATACCTTGTTAGAGACTCTGGGAGTTCACCATAGACATTCTCGGAGCTTAAATTTCTTAGGATCGGCCCTAAACGTAATAGCTGGCACCCCCGACTTTGATGACTTAATGCAGACAATGCTAACGGAACAGGAACTGATACAGTCAAACAATAGACAAATCGGCATTAACTCTAAGACTCAGGAAGAAATCAACGCTCTCACAAATACGGTAAATCAAATTCTCAAAATAAACAAAAGGGAAGAAATACTTGTAGACTCCTGGCACCTTTATGAAACACTTTGGCTAGAAACAGGATTCTAACTCCTTAAATTCAAAATTTAATGATTGCAATGACCTTGGTAAAGTTTAATATCTATATAAAACCCTGCCTTTATTGACGCAAATGACTTAGAGGCGGTTATGAATGAGTGTTTCACGGGAGTCACAATAACCCAATTGCTTAGGATAGCTAGAGTTAAGGTTTTAGCGAATAAGGAAATAATAATATTTGTAATCAGCTTTCCTAGACCTAAGTTATTATGTAAAAAGATTACCGCTTTTCCCGTATCGCATGCACGCCGTATATTCCACTTGTTAGATAACACCGTAGCTGACTGTGAAGGTAGCATCACCGCTGTTATTCTCAAGCTCATATCTCGGGGCCTCCATCCTCGATTCCAACAAAATACGGCAGGTAATATTATCCTGATTTTCCTACATTACAGTGCAAATGGGCTAAATTGGACAAAAACTCCACCTACTTCCTATGAAACACAATTTTAAATTCAATCCCCTTCTTTCACTTTCCAGTATACAAATCAAGAACCAATGTATCCGAATAAAACTATGAATAGAAAGTGCCTTTGAGATGTCCCACCTCATAACGCAAAATTGGCAAAATCGGGCTACAAATCTTTAAGCTCCCAGCTACCGAATATGTGAACCCCAGTTCCTATTGCGAACTTTTTTTTGAAAATGTTGGTCAATCGGTGAAATGTATTATTGAAATTCGGAAAAAGCCTTAGTCTGATAACATTATGCTAGTATGTCAAGAATGGCTGGAATTTGGTCAATGCTACCCTTAGCTCCCATGTACCTAATATAATGATTTTCGAACTTCCGGATGACTTTATTCCGCAAATATTGGCTAATTGAGCTTGAGTTATCTTAATAAACTTAAGCGGCCGTGTTTTGCGTGCCTATAATGAATAAATTTTTGCGTGCCACAAATGCAGAAATGGTGTTATGGGGACCATTTTAATCAAAATCCTTCGAAGCCATTTCCTCAGATCAGAACTAAAATTTATTATTATACATATTTTTCATACCTTCATTGTCACAGTCATATTTTTACTACTGCATTTCTTGAGCGTAGTTTGCAAGATATTATTTACCTATAAAATTTCAATTAACTTATTCCTTCCTGTTGCGTGTTGCAGGTACATTTGTCACGAGGAGTGGCCTTCCAACATACAAAACTACTATTATACTTTAGCGCTGCTGACTCTGCAATTCCTCGTCCCTTTGACGGTGCTCATCTTCACCTACACACGCATCGCATGTGCGGTCTGGGGCAAGCGACCGCCCGGCGAGGCGGAGAACTCGCGCGATCAACGAATGGCGCGTTCCAAGCGAAAGGTAAGTGACGAAGCACCCTGTTTTCTAACATAAAATTAACATGCACATATGGGCAGCATATTTCAGTAATTTCGGGCCAGGTTTATATATTGTGGCAAGTGCGAACACGCCACCAGTGTTTGTGGTGGCCCATGCCAGTGAATTGCGTTTGCCAATAAAGCAGCCTGAAGTGCGAGCATTAGCTGAAGGCAGAAAAGTATCGTTCACGCATCTGAGTGGGTGTGTTTATGCAGATTTGCATTTTATCATATGTATGTAATAAGCCGCTACCTAACGGCATACTCACCCACATACATACACATATGTACATATATAAATATATATAAGTATATATATTTACAGGTTGGTTGATCTCACCAAGAAATAGCACTACTAGCTCCATGCACATGCAAAGTTACAAGTAATTCTGTCAATTAATTCTATGTTTACAAGCCATTTGAAGTTGTCGTGTCAGAGTTTTTCGTTTTTAATTTCGTTTAAATTTCGGAAAAATTGAATATCGCGCAGTGATTTCATTCTTTGTTTGAAAAGTTTAAATACAAAGGAAATTTTTAAACAATTGTTAGAATTGTATAAGCTTCAAAACACACCATTGAATTTTGGTCTGGTGAATTTAAATTTAGGCTTGAAGACGATCCACGCGAACGACGACCCAAAACCGCAACCACACTAGAAATCATTGAGCAAGTTCCCATTATTGTTAGTGAAGATCCAAGTTTGACTAAGCGGAAAAGTGCAAATGCCATAGGCATCTCAGACGCACGAGTACTTCATATTTTTCACGGAGAATTACATATGAAAAAGCTGTTTGAAAAGTTAGTGCCGCACACGTTAACAATTCAACAAAAACTGGATCGAAAACAAATTTCTCAGCATAATTTGGAGCATTTACAGTGGACTGAAATTGGTTTTTCAGCTCCAAAGAAGGTGATGTCACACTGATCAGCAAAGAGGGTTATGGCATCACTATCTTAGGAGGCAAAAAGAATATTGTTAATTGATTATCTGCAGAAAGGTGAAACAATCAACTCTGAGTATTATTGCAGCCTTTTAGATCAGACGTGAGAAAAGACCTGGTTTGCAGCACAAAAAAAATATTTTTTCATCAAGACAATGCACCTGCTTACAACGGTGTTTTAACAATGACATAATTCAATGAATTAAAGTCGAATTGCTTGAGCATCCACAGTATGCACCAGATTTTGGTTCCAACTACTACTACCTCTTCAGAAACCTGAAACAATTCTTCATGGAAAGTGTTTTTCGTCGAATGAAAAAGCTATTACAGTCGTAGGCTGTCGTAGGGATAGCATAAAATTATTGAAAGATTATTGGAAGGGTATTGAAGTTAAGGGAGATTATATTGAATAAAAATATATATTTCGTACCAAAAACAGTATTTGTTCATTTCGAGCGCAGAAACTTTTCAGCCAACCTGTACCTATGTACATATACATCTGCACCAACGTATGCCACCGCAGAAAGTAATTTACAAGTTATTCGCTACTTCGCTTTGAACTTCGTGTTGCACATCTGCATACATGCAACGCCATTTGCACTTAAGCGCTTATACATTTTAATTCTTCAGTTACATTATGCAGCTGTGGCAATCTTTTGCCGCGCAATTTGGATACTGCTAGCTATTGTACATTGTGAGTGCAAGTGACACAATTGGTGGTGGCTGCTCACCACTACATACGAACTTATTTACGCTGCAAGCGCTGCACTTGTTATACTCTTGTAAAGTGTTGCTACAGAGTACAATGGTTTTGTTCACCTACCGGTTATTTGTATCACCTAGAATTAATCCAGATAGATATAGGTTTATCGTATATATGTAAATGATCAGGATGAAGAGACTAGTTGAAATCCGGGTGACTGTCTGTCCGTCCGTCCGTTTGTGCAAGCTGTAACTTGAGTTAAAATTAAGATGTCTTGATGAAACTTGGTACACATGTTCCTTGACAAAAAAGTAAGGACAAGTTCGCAGATGGTCGTAATCGAACCACTGCCACGCCAATAATCGAAAACGTATTAAGTGACATAACTAAACCGTAAATTAAGATACAAAACTGAAATTTGGTACAACGCATATCAGTAATTAGAGAACCTGTGTTTTGAAATTTATTAAAAAGTTGGCGTTGCGCGCCCCTTAATAGGTTTAACATATATATCTCCCAAACCATTCAAGTTATATCACCCAAGTTTGCATAGGACAAATCATTCCAAGACCTCTTTCGACAGCGGGAAAATAGGTAAAATCGGATAATAACCACGCCCACTCGCCATGTAAGAGTTTTGTTAAAAACTACTTAAAGTGCGATAAATTAATAATTAAATGCGTCAAAGACATTAAATTTTACATCCATAATGGTACAACAAGGATTTCTACAAGCAAGTGTCAAATGTGGACGATGAGCGTGGCACCGCGGTGAAATCACATATCTCCGGACCGTTTATTTCACATATAACCTAAAAGAGCATATTAAGTTTGCCACGAAGTTTGTAACACCCAGAAGGAAACGTCGGAGACCCTCTGAGTTGATTTAGCAATGTCCGTCTGTCCGTCCGTCCGTCCGTCCGTCTGTATAAATATATGTAAAAATTTATTTTTTATTGCCGATTCACGAAATTAGATCTGAATCAAGTTATTGGAAGGAACCTTTGTATCTGTGAAGGGTATTCTAGCTTCGGTGCAACCAAAGTTAACGTTTTTTCTTGTTTTAAATTCCATTTGATGTCCGAGGTGAAAAACCTTCTAGTATGCAAAGGATCAAATAATATATCGGGATAAAAATTCGCCCCAATATTGCTTTTAAATGGCATACATTAAAAACTCAGGTCTAAAAATTGTCAAAATCGGACTAAAACTATTGAAGCCCCAGATTCCAACTACTACAACGAACATTTTATAGAAAATATCGGCCAATCTGTACAATATGTTATTGAAATTCGTAGCATGTTGCATGTTAATATTATGTGGTATTTCCAAAAATAGATAAAATCGGACCAACACATCCCTTATGTAGATCCCATATACCTAACATACAATTTTCAAACTTCCTATTGGCCTTATACCCTATATACGAACTATCCCCACTCCTATATGATTCCCGATTTTCCATTTGACTTTAAATCGTACAGGTTGGTCATACCTATAATATAACCTATAATGAAATGTTCGGTTACACCCGAACTTAGCCCTTCCTGGCTTGTTTTGAAATAAATTCTGCTCATGTTATTCAAGTTCTGGGGTGTGTAAATATAGGCTTGTTAGTGTTGTTGGTCACCAAAGTTTAGCAATAACGCATATATTGTGGCAGCTACACGTGCATATTATTTCGTATATTGACAGGTTCGTCATCATGAGGAGAGTTTCAATAAATGCAGCCAATAAAATATTGAACTCCTTCCAAAGAAGCGAAAGTTTGTGTTGTTATTGCTTGTATGAGAAATTTTCAAAATCACTAATCTATACGATGATTGCTGCCAGGGCGCAACAGAGTCGACAATGGTTAAAGTATTATTAGATATACCAAAGCTATATAGAGCTTCCCATTAAATTACAATTGGCTAATAATTACAGTACACGGCAGCTGTTTTTTTTCACTTATATCCTCTTAAGAAAAAGTTCCTCCTCAGATCTTTGGAACGATGTCGGCACTGCGTATTTGACTTTAAAAATTTTACAAATTTTAGTTTCGTAACTAGGAATTTTGTTGATATATATGTATCTTGGAAAAACCTCTGTAAAATTTTGTATTTTGTCCCATATTTCAACCAGTTATAGTATTTCAAAAAAGGCTGTATCTTTTTGGTAAACATATTGCAAATCTTCACGGTTTGATTTTTCAGTTTTTTTCAGTCAGTCTTTTTTTTTGTTAGTCTGACCACTCATATGATCAAAAGTGGTCGTTTTACAGCCAGCAATATGTTTTTAACAACTCTCGGATTTAGCTTTTAGTTTTGAATTTCTTTCACATTGGCAGACCATTTTATTTCAGTATTGAAAATTATTAGAATATACTTTTATATCGTCACAATCGGATTAAAGTCAATTGGGGTGGATATTTGCTTAGTTAATGTTCTAACGTACATTACGTAATTAGTGTCTGCATTTAATATGCACAACGAAATAAAGATTTATTGGTCGATATACTGTCAACTATTATCATTTCACATATTAATTATTTAGTTAAGATTTAAAACGAGATTTTTCCGACCTATATAAATAATTTTCCAAATTTCAATTGAATGCCTACAGTCTGTGAAAAGTTTCACTTTCATCTAATTATCTACATGCACTCTAGTTTTTATACATTTACGAGGGTACATTAAGTTTGCAACGAAGTTTGTCACACCTAGAAGGAAACGTCGGAGACCCTATAAAGTTAAGGTATAAATTATCAGTATGACAGGCTAAGTCGATATGGTCATGTCCGTCTGTTTGATCAACTGTCTGTTTATACGCGAACTCCCTCAGTTTCAGAGATATCGATCTGAAATTTTGCACACGTAATTGTTCCCCCAAGAAGCGGCTCATTTTTCGGAAACGCCGATACAGCATATAGCTATCATACAAATTGGATTCAAACTCAGTCTTTCATTATATAATCAGGTGTCTCATTTCATTAGTTATACGATAATCAATACTTTGACATGTTGTTTTCCTTATGTGTAGAGATTTGAAAAATTTTTCAGTTGGATCAGCTGATTCCCTAACGAGGCTTTTAAGTTAATGGGTATATTTCCACAAGTGTTTTTGCGTTCAAGTTGATATAATCCGATTTCTTATGTATCTGAAAATCTTCTGTACGAAATTTTTCCCTCACTGAAAGTTTCATCGCCAATACATGAGAATCAAGAGGTTGAAAGCGAATTCGACCCGGAATTCGAGAATATTAAAGTAAATGGTGTTGACAGCTCTTCTTAATACTTTATGCCAATATCCCATATTTTGTCTGTGGATTAATTTTTAACCTTTGATATTAATGATACAT